AAACATTAGATTTGTTTTTGCTATTTGCTTTCTGTATCCTTTAATTATATAGCTCTTTATGTATTGATCCATCGTTGTCTGTGCTTACCAGATAAAGGAAAATCAAGAAATGTGCATTAAACATATAAAAACTGGTAAATATTACAAAACACAGATATAAACCTAAGTGGAAAAACTTAAATTCATTGGAAAACAAAGACGTAATAGGAGAATGATCAGCTACTAACCAACAGTGGAAGAACCAATTTATCAGTAGTAAACTATCAATTACTTACAAAAAGTTGAAATACCAATCCTTCAGCACAATTTAAAATCCATTATTCAGCACAATGCTATGTGCTGACCAAAAGTTGAACCCATTATTGACCAAAATGATATGTACCGATCAAAAGTTATAAGATATAAAACAGCCATATCCCCATTTATTCATAGAGGATGGTCTTGTACAAAATAAGAAAAATGGACACACACACACATACATATTTTCTTGAGCAAAGGCATTTCATAGTTTTTCAACAAACGACTTCCAATGCTTCTGTTTCCATGACAAGAAAATTACAGGGATTGTGTTATACCTCAATGAATGTATCAATTCTGAAAGCGTTATAGTTATGAGGATCAGCAAGTAAAGAAGTGCATGATTTTGATTTTAGTGCTTTGTAAATGTTTTGCTGTAAATTGGAGCTGTAAAATATGCACCGTTAAATTTATAGAAGATACTGATGGTCAATAAGTTGTAAGATAGTTTGTCGTATCGGGCTGATCTGCAGCATACTCTTGTGATAACTAAGACACTTGAAATGTTTGGTTTATTATTGTTTATTTTTTTAAATATATCATATTTTTTCCGCAAATACACATAATGGATTCTGACACAGCATTATACAGGTGTGAAATCGACCCCCTTTCTATGCTCTTTTTTCTGTTTCTGTTCAGTAATTGAACAAAATTTGACCGTTTCAAGTCTGTCAGTCAGTCAGTCCGAGATGGTTTTTGTGTCATGGAAAAGTATGTGTGTTTTTAAGTATCGAAATCTAGTTAGTGGAAATCGGCACACAATCTCAGTATTCTTTCCTTTGTTTTATGGGAAAATTCATCAAAGATACCTAGTTTATTATTTGGTACATCAGACGCGCGTTTCGTTCAAATCAGATTCATCAGTGGCGTTCGAATCAAAACAGTTGGTAAGTCCAATCAAATACGAAATTGAAGAAATTTTAAAACAACACAACTTAAGAGAATTGTTAATTGTAAATTCACTATGACAATAAAATAAGTAGTAATGTTTTGCTTTGGTTTGATCTTGTCGAAATTTGATGAATTTTTTTTCTTGAGTGTAAAAATCGTATTACCCGTACTAAAGAATTGGGAAACAGTTTTTGTATGTCGAATTGAAAACATGTTTAAAAACAAAAGTGTTTTTGATAAAAATAAGATTAAGCGCCTAATTAATGAACAGACTTATCACAAAGTTTGCATTAAATGTAGACAATTTGTTGACTGGTTACCTTTAATCTTACCACCCTCAAGGTTGGTATTAGAAATATGATCGCCTGAACTTCTATCCGGCAATATAGCTTAAGATGGATATCCGTTTGGTTGATACGCGGTCACACCCGGTCGTTATGAGACGTTAATTCCGTTGCCTAGTATGGAGAGAGTGTCAACCTATCTGATATTTGAAGATGTTGAAAGATGCCTTTACCATTATGAAGGTACAATATGTTTGAAGGTAAATTAGTCATTGAAGTTTGCCGTACCGGCTGGCCTGCAGCGTTCTCTTTGGATAAAGTTGAGACACTTAAAATGTTTTGTTCAATTTTGTTTTTGCAAGATTCGTTTTTGATATACATGTATATATTATAGTTGCTGTTTTACAGCATAACTGTATATATATATATTTCGCAGTTGCGCATAATAGAATTCTGAAGCAACATTGTTCATATGTGAAATTGTCCCCCTCTATACTCTGTTTCTGTTTCTATTCAGCAATTGGACAAAATTTTACGATTTTCATTCCGTCAGTCTAAGACGTCTTAGTGTCACAAAGAGAAAGTTTGGACTTTTACTTAACGGAAATCGATACTCACTTTCGTTAATATATCTCCAATACGAAACCAATCGTCTTTGTTTTATGTAAGTTTAACACTTTAATAATTTCGATTCAGAGTTTTGAGCGCATATGAATCTACACCTTCGAATATTCTTATATATAAAGGCAACAGTAGTATACCGCTGTTCAATAGTCATAATTCGATTAAGCAAAAACAAATCCGGGTAACAAACAAAAACCGAGGGAAACACATCAACTATAAGAGGAATCCTATAATGTTATGCTGTAAAACAGCAACTATGCACTTTGGATTGATACATAATCAAACCTTAGCCCCTTTAAATGGTTGCCAAAACCCAATAGAGATGCAGCAAAAAAAAAGATTATACAGTGCTACTTATATACAAAGGGAGATAACTCTATTCTATATTCACTATTTCTATATGCCAAATAACATTAAAACGCAATAAATAAACTGAACAAAGAGGGTCGTCAATGATAAAAGTCAAGGTATAAATGATACAAACATGGAACTATCAGTTCGTTTTTTGGCAAATAAAAATTCATTTGACCACTAGTTAAATGTTATGTGTTCAGTAAGTGTACATTACAACTTTGCCAGCAATATTTATCTTTAAATGGCAACAGCATAAAGCCGTTTAGAAATATGATATCTAAAATTGATTTTAGAAATTTTCTGTTTTATTATCATTAAGTGGATTTTGGGTCATTTTAGAAAAGACTCTTTCAGAGATTGGTTCAGATGCTACGTTGACGGTAGATACGAATCAGAAGATTTGGGAGAGACCCCATTATTGGTTTCTAAACCTTTATTTCCTTTTTTTCTAGCTGTCAATTTAAACGTTTGATACAATTTTAGTAGACAGGACAATGTTCTGGAATAAACTTCATCAGGTGAGCTTAACCATGAATTTCGGACGCCAAATAAATAAAACATTTAAATAAAAGCAACAGTAGTATACCGCTGTTAAATAGTCATAATTCAATTAAGCAAAAACAAATCCGGGTAACAAGCTAAACCCAAGGGAAACACATCAACTATAAGAGGAAAACAAAGGAACAACAGAAACACTGAGCTACAACAAAAGCAAACGCCAACATACATAGAAACGGACTGTAGATAACAACTGCCATATTCCTGACTTGGTACAGGAAAAGCATCACTGCACCGTTTCAGAATCTATTGCATTCTGTGTAATATTTTATAAGCGTACATCAAAATTCCACCAATTTCATGATGTTATTTTCATTTTGGGATACAAACAATGGTATAAATAAACACAACAGTAGTTTACACTGTTCAATAGTCATGAGTCGAATAAGGGAAAACAAATCCGGGTCATAAACCAAAACCGAACAACAGAAACACTGAACTGCTACAAAAACAAACGCCAACATACATAGAGATGGATTATTTGATAACAACTGCCATATTCCTGACTTGTATAACCTATAGCCCTTTAGAGTCTGAATAGTTGATTTAAACAATCATTTGTAACATAAAACTCCAGAGAAGTGACCAAGTTGTAGCATTTATACAGTATACGCTAATGACATATAAATAGTTATGTTTATACTTTTTGGGGTTGTAATTTCTGATCATCCCGAGTCTATAACACTGAATAAATCAAGCAGAAACAATCAAATATCTGCCAAATTCTAAATAAGGAAAAACATTAAGATATGACATACAACAGTTACTGACGAGATTAATGACTTCGAACAGGAACATAAAAATGGGGCGGGGTTAGTTTTTTTATATCTCAACCCTCTTCCTTCAAACCTTGATTAAAAGATTAATTAAATATACAAAAAAGAACGTAAAAACCAGTGCAGGAAAAGCACTTAACTCTAAAATAAAGATATGATAGCTAACAAAGTATATACTATAAAAGAATGCAATTACTGAAAATAAGCTCAAATTACTTAACCTGCTGACAAGAAATCAAGCAATCTTACACTTAATTAATATACTTCATTTCATTGAGCAAGGTCATAAATAGTTCAGGAAGAGACATGATATTGTGCAATGCTCAAAACAAACTACTGATATACAGAAAAAACAAAAAAGTGTAAAGTTCTTTTTGGTGATTGTCTTTTCATTTCCCTGTCCTCAAACATGATTTTTGTATGCCTCGTCTTGAAACTTTTTACTTTTCTTGCTTACCTTTAATAAAAAAAAAATATCAGTTCAATCCTATATTGCCTAATTACTATTTTTTTCCAAAAAGTTCAACGACATTGTATCTTTTATAAATATTATCAGGTTTTTTTTTATTTTCTCATGACATGTGGTGGAGGTTTCGTCCCTGAGGGCATCATCAGCCCAGTATTTAGCACTTCTGTGTTGACAAATTTTTATTCAAGCGTCACTGATGAGTCTATTTTAATGACTGTCATGTGATCATCAAGGTCAACTGAGATAAGCTGTTTTTGGGGGATACAAGCCCTGTTTTTTTTCCACACATCCATTTCAAAGAATTTCTTATAAACTTTCCCATAAAGAAATATGTTCAAATGTGGCTTTTTGAATGTTGTGTGGATCATTTGGTCACCAACTAACAACTCCTTTTATGGGAAAAGTAGTGCAATGAGGTAAATCTATTTTCAGGTGGAAGGAAAATTAGAAATTTAGGGACAATGCCAAAACAAATATATTTTTAAACTATTAGCCAAAATCAATTGGATTGGTACTTTGCTGCATCATGGAGTATTTCATCTATCATATGGAATCATATAAAGAAACTGACAAAAAATTAAATTCTAACACAACGTAGACTTTTTCAAAGAGGAGTAATGGTGAGAGTAGTTGCTTACATTATCTCATGGTGATGAAAATAAAATGGAACTTCAATGGTCCTCATGGAAACACTATTCGTTGGATAAACATCATAATTGTAACTTGGCATATAAAAAGGAAGCAGTATATTTCTGACTATTTAACAATTGACAGTATGTACTGAAGAAACACATTGAAGTTATCACAGACTATAAAGGAAGTTAATAGCATCACACTTAATAACATACAAGTGATTTATGTGTATCATTATTGTGCATTAAAACAATAAAGGAAACAAAATAATAGTCAAGGAATTCTTAACCTTACTTTACCAAAATACACCTTATCGGTTTACTAACGATAATTTAAATAGGAAGATTGATGCATTAATGAACAATTGTTAAATGTTACCATATAGGTTTTCAATTGTTAATATAATATAAATTCTTTGTCCAAAAAATATTAAAAACAAAAAAGAATCAGGCCTTCTTTTGTGTTATTCTTTAAAAGCCAAAAAGGCAACACAGTATTATTTCTGGATGAATATTGATTAAAAAGTGTTCTTAGATTTTCTTCCTAGCCAGACATTTACAAATCATTTATATATTGTTCTTAATGTTACGATACTTCAAATAAGTTGTGGCAGAAATTGCATTTTTTTTCTTTTCACAAAGATATATTTTCTTTCATGTTATAGGAATATGACTAAACTGTAATTATAAAACAAATTAACTGTACTTTCTCAATTTAAGGAAGTGCTGTCTACATGCAGGAGTCATTTTTGATAGCTTTATGATATTTTTACTTGTTCCCATTTTATCAATAAAATTATACTGAGATGTAAGTTTTGCTCTATTTTTACCCAAAGGAATGAACTTGCTTGCAAACATAATGAAATATATACATGTATGCTTTAATCACTTCTATACAGCTACATACACATATTCCATCACAGATAGAATATCAACACAATTATAGCATACTTCTAAAAAAGAAAACAATATATATTAACAATAAGACTTTCACATTCACTAAGCAGTAAATTAAATGGTGCTACAAAAAATAACAATTAAAGTAATAAAAAATGATAACAAAAATAAATAAGCTGAAAATCTGTATCATGGAGTAACAACTATATGACAACTCCTTAAATATTTATAGGTCTAAAATCACTGTTTGTATAAATAAGAAGATGTGGTATGAGTGCCAATGAGACAACTCTCCATCCAAGTCACAATGTATGGCCCCTTTTGAAATTGTAAGGTTTAATTTTTATCAAACTTATTATAACATTTTTACCATGAAATTTAAGGAATTTTTCTACACTATTTAATGTCAAACTGAAGGAGAATTGATTTCTTTATATTTTTTTTAGAAAGAAAACATTCTAATATGCTCTTTATTCAATTTTCAAGCTATTATTTCCTCAGAAGACATGAAAAGGCTGTTTTAAAGCCCAACAGATTAAAAGATCACTAAGTACTATAAATGGATCATGTAACATGTTTTGAAATCCATAAAATCACAAGTCTTCTTATTTTATTACAAATTATTTCTACTCTTGTTATAAAATTCTCACCTATTTTCTATTGGATGTCAAACTTGCTGCATTTTGATAAAACTTTTTTTTAAATAGTCTGAACAAAATTTTTATTCATCGCTGTTTAGATCAACAGCATTACCAGAATTGATATTTTGCAAAAAGATGACAATGAGGCTATCTACAGACCTTTTTTTGGATAAGGCTCTTGATATTGGTTAATTTGATCATAAACTTTATAAAAAATGGAAATGTTGTGAAGTATGCTACTTATGAAATGTTTGAGTCATAATGACATCATAAATTGAAAATAAATTTTGCACTTAAAATGAACTTATTTTGAAAGGATTTCAAGAATTTTTAAGGTTTAGAATTTTAGGGACCAAAAAATGGCTGATAACATACCTGTTCCTTTTGTCATTTTAAACTATCAATATAGGTTTAATACCAAGTTACAGTAGTGTAAAATAGTATTCTTTATAACAACTGTATATTGCACAAAAATAAAGCCATGTGTATGTACAGATTATTGGCATGGGCAAATTATCATCAAAATATAGTCAATAACAAACAAATATACAATACTACATCCTTGAGTAATATTTACTGCATTGGTATGCATGACTGAAGAGTACAATACATTTAGTTGAGAAAAACAGTTACCCTTCTTAAACCCAAACAATGTATATGATAACCCTTTTCTGTTCAATTGACATATGCATCATTTTGGTTACAATAGGCTTTTTCTTCTGTAACTTTCCTTAAGATTTCTTTTGGTTTTAGTGTTTTGTAGTTGCTGTCTCACTGAGGTTTCCTTTTATTCATAAATTAAAACTAAAATTAAGTTTTCAATCTTAGGATCAATTGATTTAATGGCTAAAAATATTTGCTTTTCTTATCAAATAATATTATAGCTACTCAAACATTGAAACTGTTAAAAAAATGAAAAATAATAATATAACAACATTTAGGGGACTTATTTTAACCCCAAAAGCAAATCATAAAACAAAAGGTTTTAGAATTAACAGATAATATCACAGTTTGAACACCTACATTTCAGAAGATAACAAAAAATATTCAATTTGTGATGAACCAAATTGAAAAAGCATAGAAATTGCTCCTGCACATAAGAAACAACAAAATGTTTTGCATACAATATACACATCCTAGTCTAAAAATATCTAGACTTCATTTAAGAAACAAAATTTTTTTTTTAAAAAGCCTTCTCTGTTTATACCTAGATTAAACAATCACAATTCGTGCTTATTTCAAGTCAGTCTATCTAGATTATTTTTTGTTTGTAAGTCAATTTTTATTGGACTGAGTCGGATGTTGATGTGGGGTTTTCTATTCTCTAATATTATTTGTAATCCTGTTATCCTCTTAATGTATTGTGATGAAATTTCAAATAATGTTGGTACACTACCTTTATACTTGCTGCAAAATTTCACCCAATATTCATTTTTTTTTCTTGTATAAAATAATGATAAAGATACTGTGGATTCATTAACGTAAGTGTCAATTTTGTGGACTGTGGAAAAAGTCATTTTCAGTGATACATGTAAATGATTTCACGGGTTCAAAAAATTATGCAAACAAGCCTATAGAAAATTTGTAATTTTGTTGAACACATCATGTTTCACTTTTAACCACAAATCACTGTAAATAAGTACACCACAAATAATAATGAATCAACAGTAATTATGGTTTCTTTTCTCAAAAAAACGCCAGAAATATGAATATTTTTTGCCTTTTTCCATTAAAAAAACGGTTGATTTGGTGTTGTCTTTACATCTTCTTTTAAAATAATTTTGAAAACTTATCAAAAATAGGCTCTCAATGCCTCTGTTTGCTTTCAAGCAAACAATTACTGACATACATCATTGATGGTATGGTTATAAAGTCAGTTAAACTTTCAGGTGACATATTGGAAAAACAGAGATTTATTATGTACAATCTAAATCACACTTAGAAGTAAGAAACACAAACATACAGAATAACAAGTTCTTATGAGTGGGCTCAAATCAGTCAATACCCTTATAAACATATAATGTATATATAACAAAACATTTTCCACTCCTTGAAACAAGATATGTTAAAGAAGTACACAAATAAATCAGTGTTGAACCTTTACAGCATATGTTTATCTGATTTTTCACATAATCTACAACTGTACACAAATATTTCCATTCAGATCTAACTTGGTCCATATTTTACAACACTAACAGCCATCAGAATCTAAATGTTCAAGTTGTCTGTTTAAATTAAAAAGTTTGCCACCTACAATACTTCATCCTCATACATTATCATCTGAAACAGATTGTGAACAGATATTAGTAGTTTATCATCAAAAAGCTCAAATTGTTCCATTTTATTTCATAACAAATTTGGGGCTGATTTTTAAGTTTTCATTTTTGATTTTCAATAGCATATAAACCACTGGATGTTTAGCAAACAACTGTCAATCAATCAAAAGTATTTATTATTATTCAAATAGCATGTTAAGCATAGAGACAGTATTCAGAATAAGTTAATGGTCTTTGTTCGGTTTGAGAAAGAGTCTGCCAAAAACAAATTTGTCATATAATTTTAAAAACTAACAGTATAATAAACATATATACCAAGTTTCAAGTTGATATGACCTAAACTTCATGGTAAACTATCTTAAACAAACACTTTTACCTGACAATTTACTGCTTTCACTCAATAACATTTCCTTGTTCAGTGAACCATGAAATTTTGGTCATGACCATAATTTAGCATGAAGACTAGAAAGTTCACATTAAAAGAACATTTGTACTAAGTTTCATGTTGACTACAACTTCATGATAAAATACCTTGTCCATGAATTTAACCTGAAACCGGACAGACAAAAAGATGGACAGAAAAACAGATGGATGGAATTACTAATGGACCCATACAAGAAAACACTATGCCTCTCTACTTTTGTGGAGCATAAACTATTGTTTTGTCAAAAATCTATTCTAACATGTGTTATTCATTTTACTTCTATTGATCAATTTTGGAATGTATTCAAAATTTTAAAAACATATCCTCTTTGAATGAAAAATCTTATAATAAACCTTTGACACAGAGATATGTGTCTTGCATGTATGTAAATTTGATAGTAAAATGCAAATGTTGAAATTAAAATGGGAATACTTTAACATGTAAAATATGTAAACATTCAAAGTCAATGAACCATGACTGATGGTGCAGAAATAATACTTTCCATGGAAATGAGTAGTGCCAATACAACTGCATCACAAACATCATTGACTTACCATTGGTGGTTCCCCTTAAACTGACCTAATCATAAACTTTAACTTCTAAACTTTGCAAAAGTTTCAAAGTCAATAGATCATGACTAGGCTTAATAGTTCCATGGAAATGAGATGTGCTAATACAACTACATACCAAATATCATTTAATCACCATTATCGGTTCCTCTAAAACTGACCTAATCACAAACTTCCAACAAATTGTTGATGCCACCTTCTAGGGGAAACAGCACTCCTAGGTCTGCTTCATGACTTCTTCTAGGCAAGACAATAATTGTGATATCCCCAAATGATATACTTTAACTTGACTTCACAATATAAACTTACCATGATACCACCATCTTGTTTTCTTAGGATTTTTACTACAGGTTTTTATATAAAAAGCATTATCAGGTGGTCTCTTCTGCAATAATAGATTAAACAACTATACTAAAACACAAAATACATATATATATATATAGCCCTGGTGGTCGAATGGTTTAGCACGACGGGCATAGTGCAAGGCGATTTGGTGCCACGATATCTCAGTAGCATGAGTTCAAATCCCGGCCAGGGAAGAACAAAAATTTGCTTCCGCAAATTTACAGATCTAACATTGTTGGCCTGTTGTTCAGACGAACTATATATACAGAATGTGTTTTCAGCCTTGTATCACCATCACTAGTGATCCGATGGATAAAATCTGTCGTAGAGTTGTCAGACGTACTTATTATATATATATATATACCGGTAAGTCTAAATTGAAAACAACATTCAAACCTATGATTGCGTTGGATAAAAACCGCAATTTTTATACATGTGCATGCAAAACAAATTTCTTGGTAGAGGGGTCTAAATACAGCACAAACAACATTTTCCAAAAGACCAAAAAAGTATATATATATATATATATATATAATGTGCCTAGAAAATCAACCTAACAATGTTAGAGTAGATTTGATTCTTTACTTCCTCCCCGAGCGAGGCTGGAACCTGTACTTCTCACTTCATACTTCTACAGCAATAACACTTAGCATTGCGCAGACGCCTTATCCCCTCCTCTAAATATAGCTAACAAAAAAAATCAATCCAAGCTACTGAAGAAAAACCATCAAAGTACTTTTGGGTGATGATGCACAAAAAAATAACTATGTAGTCTTCTTCTTTTCTTACATTTATTAATTCAAAGTTAACAATATTTTCATCATGCATAATGTATTTACCATCAAAACATCCATTATCTGTATTTAAAAACTTTAAAAGACACTTCAAGAATGTTACAGAGATGAAAGAACTCTTTTTATCTATATAGATTAAAGCATATCAACTTAACATAGGAAATTCATGCATGTATACTGCATGGCTTCCAAAACGGTCATATTTTCTGGTCATGACTTGTAAAATTTATTTTTGACTGGCTTGTGTACGTCTGAAATGTCTGTACTTGTAATTCAAAGTACTGAAAACAGGAAGTAGGTGTCTGACAGATCCAAAAAGTGCTTACATCTTACAACTCATCACTGCCAAGCTGCTGAATAAATATGAAGACATTACCTTCAGTAGTATTGAAGAATTATGTGAAGAAAAAAATTGTAGTCCATTCAATATTTTGATAAATTTACAGTATAAGCAAACCAGAAGTAGGTGTTCTACAGAAGCAAAAAAGCTCACATGTTACAACTTATCACTGTCAAGCTGGTGACCACTGAGACAGACATCTCAATGAAAGGATGAACAGACTCACAAATGGTCTATGTGATTGCAATATTGCCCCAACGCATTATATATATTTAAATTGGGTTTGTTAAAACATGTCTTGACTGTTACCTTTTCTGTACAACTAGATAACATACTGACAATACTAAGACAAACAGCTTGAACAGACAGAGCAGGAGACCAGTCTTCTGTGAGAATTGACAAACATATATGTCCATTACTATATACATGTGGATGTACAGGGATATTTGGTCCTACAAACATAACCTGAAACAAACATAAAATCAATTAATTGAAAAATATACCAGTCATTCAGAGTAAGTTAGTATATGGTGCTGATGACAATTAAATTACACAAAACACTCAAATGTACAGCTTCATTAGGTGTTTATACAATTCACAATATTCAAGTTTTAATTCTTTATCAACAAATAAAGATGTTTATTTCAATTGATAAAGAATTTCACCATTTTTCTATGAATTTAAATTGCATTGCCATGTGTTGCCTGTCATGTAGGTCCTTAAATTTTAGCAAAAACTACATAAAATATAAAATTAAAATATGATCAGTTCAGTATCGAAGCAGCCATTTTATTATTTTGTGGATATTGGACTGAAATACATGTAGACTAGTCTGTCATCTTCAAAGGTATGAACTTGCAAGAAATTAAATATGCATGAATTTGTTTGGTTTTTTTTATTTGGCTGTAAAAAAATTAAACTATCATAATAATTAGTATTTGAAAACATCAGTTGTATTAAACAATTTTAGTATGACAAAACAAAAGAAATTAATTAGAATTAGTATGGAAAATTATCATTTCAGAATAATATTATATAGGATCAGTTTCAATGTACAATGACTTCAATTTTAAAATTAGAAATTTAAATTTCTTCATTGATACACATGTACATGTATTATGATGTTAGAGTTTATTACTGATTCTGAAATACTTACAAAGCCAAAGGAATACAATGCAATAGATTTCAAGAGTATATATATATCCTCCACTAACAAGATTCAATTGGAGATGGAAAATATGACAGCTACATGTATGAGATTGTAAATAAAATGCTTCGCTGAGCACAGCCTGATACGACCGCAGAGGTCGAACCCTGAACAGTTGGGGAAAATTTGGACACAATATTCAAGCTTGATACTGTCAGAATTTGGATTGTGATCAAATTTTTGACATAATATAGGTTTCTGACACAAAATAAATGTGGTCAAAGATCTTACAAATCTATTGCACAATACTGTGCAATTGAAGATTTCTTCTTGAAACTTTTCAAAAATTCAAAATAAAAAAATATGAATCCTTTAAAAAAATTGTAAATAAAAAATCCCTCCCTTGAAGCAATAACCCCAAAACTCAATCCCAGCCTTTCCTTTGTAGTATGGAATCTTGTAGTATAATTTCAGAGAGATCCATACACTTAAACACAAGTTATTGTCTCGAAACTAGAAAAATGCTTCTTTTTGGCCCTTTTTTGGCCCCTAATTCCTACATGTTTGGGGCAATTAACCCCAAACTCAATCCCAGCCTTCCCTCTTGTTATATGGAACCTTGTGGTACAATGTCTGAGAGATCCATACACTTACACACAAGTTATTGTCCGGAAACTAGAAAAATGCTTGTTTTTGGCTCCTTTTTAGCCCCTAATTCCTAAACTGTTTGCCCCATAACCCTTAAAATAAATCCCAACCTTCTACTTGTGGTATTAAACATTGTGGTACAATTTCAGAGCAATTGAAATACTTATACACAAGCTATTGTCCTGAAACTAGATAAATGCTTGTTTTGGGCCCCTTTTGGGCCCCTAATTCCTAAACGGTTGGGACCATCATCCCTAAAATAAATCCCAACCTTCCTTTTGTGGTATTGAACCTTCTAAAAAAATTTCATAGAGATCCATTCTCTTAAACTAAAGTTATTGTCCGGAAACAAATGTGTCTTCGGACGACGACGACGACATCATACCATTATACAATCCCAAAAAAATTTTTGCAGTCGTATAAAAATTACCAGAGAAAATAGGCCACTTACTAAACTGACCTACAACTTAATGAATGTTCCAACATATGGAAAATTATTGTGAATTTTAACAGCTGGTTTGGCATTTGTGTGGATTTATCCACCCTTTTGATTGGCTTATTATCTTCGATTAACCTTTTTCCAGAATAGTTTCATTATCCATCTTTTATATTCAATAGGATTATGTTATCATATGTATGACTTCCTTTACTTCACTTTTAAAATGTCCATTGTTTCAAATTTCCTAGCAGGAATTGCTTTAGGAAAAAATCAAGCAAGAAATTTAAATACATGTCACCTTGTTGTACATGTAAACATATGCAGGGCAAAAGGCAATGTATTTTTACTTTTGTTTTATATCACAATACTTTTTTAAAAAACAATTTTTAGGAGAAAGAAATTTACAAGAATACCACATACATCTTTCTTTTTAAAAGCAAGTAACAAGTCTAAGGACTAAATATTATACTACAAAAAAAAAAGCAAAGAGGTAATTATTATAAAAGTTTCAATCATTTATTCATGTAGTTTTTAAAAAAAGAACCTTCAGGCACATGTAAGCAATTTTTAAATTAATCCATGTAACCTGAAAAAGGAAGTGCAGATTTCCGAAAAAGTTGTTTATTGACAATAATATTTTCCTCAGAGAGAAACTGTATTGCTACCACTACAGGGGTGTTAAATGACCTTGACTTCTCAAAGGAACTTGCATGGTATGTGATAAATCTATTGTGTAAGTAAAGCAAGTTTTTATCTCAATTTATTTAATTATTTTATTTATTTAATTTTTTTTACAACTATAGTAAACTTCTAATGAAATAAAAAGTGTCCTGGTGTAGCCAGTACTTACCTGTGGTGAATCAAATGGGTACCTTGAACCAAATTTGAATAATAACTGCATTTTCTCGCCAGCATACAATGTTCCAGGGGCTCCATCAAGGTCAACTATCCATCTAAAAGAAAATTCCACAAATAATAAAATGTATAAGTCGTACAAGGTATCAATGTCCATGAAAATAGAACTTTTGAAGAAATGATTACATTATTTTTATTCAATGTTACATGTACCTGATAAAAAATAATGTATGTACCAAAACCCAATGCAAATCTATAGTTATATATGATGCCATTAAACTCAAGCCTTCTGTTATTAGATAACTGCACATTTTCATTGTGTAATCTCATCTTAGTGTAGTGAGTTTGAAGCTTTTTTCCTGTGGATATTGTTAAACAAAAATTCAATTATCTAAACCACAAGAAAACTTACTTGTTGAATTCTTTTAGTTATTGAGAAGACTTACTCAGATAAATTCTTATAAATACTTTCAGCATCTACTTTAACACCTGTAGGAGGATCTTTCATTAAAGCTGTAAGTTCTTTCTGCAATCTTTTCTGAAAAGAAAATGTTTACAAGTTCTACACAGTCTGTACACAAATTTTGAATACTTTAGCATTTGTAGGTCTAGAATCAGGTATATGATTCAAAGTACAACTTGGCAGATGACCTCTACATATAGATGTTGCTGTCTTATTAAAAATATCGACATCTCCTTTTATGCATATGATAATTCCAAGTTTCAAATGATTTTAAATAGGATATGTGTTTAGTGATTCCTAGCAACATCTTCTAATTTCACAAGATTTGGTGTAGACTTACTCAGGGGACAGTCCAGAAATTTAAAAAAATGCTATTTTGTGCTTGATCAAGGGCCTTACATCTGGAAAGACTATCTATGTAAGTAAAATCTGTCAATTTCCAACTGGATCTGTGCTTAGGGGTCGCATATAACATTTCCACATTTCAAATAATATGGGAGAGGCTTATTCAAGGTAGAATCCAGAAACCAATTTCTGGACATATGTACTTTTACAAAAGCAATTCTATATGCCCCTGTCACCTCTCTCATAAAAATAGATAAACAAGGTTTACACAAATTTTTGGTCTAATCTTCATATGGATTGGTTAAGTAGTTCAATCTATTTGAATACATTCAGAAAAAAAATACCCCCCTTTTTTTAAAATTGGATGAGAAACCAGGATTTTTTTTATAATGGCCTTAGTGTACATGTGAGCCAAGGCTCTGTGTTGAAGGCCATACTTTGACCAATAATTGTTAACTTTTAATACATTGTGACTTGGATGGAGAGTAGTCTCATTGGCACTCATACCACATCTTCTTATTTATAATAACAAAAGACAAACTAATAACCTCCCATATCCTAATGACAAGTTCCCATAAAGTTCACAGGATAATAAGGAACTATGAAATTAATTTCATAATATAGACTGTTAAATGTAGTACACTGTAGTTAAGGTAATGTATGTGTATGTACATGTAGCTATATCTAAGAAAATTTCCTTTATTATGAAAAAACCTATGGAGCTTAATGGGAAGTCGATTCTTATATTTATAATTGTATAAATGTAATAATGTCCTCTATGAGCCCTTGCTTGATGAATAAAAAAAATATGTAATATCTCTACAATACTGCCAATTTGCAATAGCATGTACACAACAGACAGGAGCTAACAAGTCTACACATACCATGCCAACTAATACCAAAATTTGCAAACTTGGTACCATTGTCAGCTCATACCAAGCCAATTAATACCAAAATTTGCAAACTCTGTACTATTGTCAGCTCATACCATGTCAACTAATATCAAAATTTGCAAACTTGGTACCATTGTCAGCTCATACCATGTCAACTAATACCAAAATTTGCAAACTCAGTACCATTGTCAGCTCATACCATGTCAACAAAATTCAGCTTGTAACATGTCAACTAATCTCAAAATTTGCAAACAAATATATTGAATATATACTTGATTATTGATTTTTTGTTGTTGTCTGTAATAATCTCCAATATTGTAATATACTCTTGGTGAGCCCATGGCTATTTTTGGAAATAAAGCATCATCTTCTGTTCATTAGACCCAGTGATAAGTTGGTAATAAATTTTGCAAGTTCATGCTTTAACACATGATCAAACTAGCAGTAGTAGGAGTTGACTTTCTTTGGTACAAGTTTGCAATGGTTTTATTGTTTTATTTGTGCTTCGTAATATAATAATTCTTGAGGCGGCGGAAATTTTTATATTTTAATATATACAGTCCGCCAAAAGTTAAGCACCACCTAAATATAACTGGCAATATTTTTTTAACTATTGCGAAAAAAATATTTATGTTTGGTGTTATGAATTGCCTATAATATACACTAAGAAAATTCATTACGACCAAAAAAGATAGACTCCGATAAACACGCCAAGCAATTTTTTATTAAAGGTCATCTGCACTTTTTCGAATACACTGTTTTGATGCCTTTAAATCATCTTCCTACTGTCCCGTGTACAGGTGAAATTTGACCTTCACCAAGTCACTGTGAAATATGGCAAGGGGTAAGTTATCTGTGGCTGAACGTTGGCAAGCAATTGACATGTCAAATGCCGGTAGGAGCACTAGTTGCATAGGTAACCATTTCAATGTTAAACATACCGTCATTGTCAGATTTTTACAACGTCATGTTGACACAGGAACTGTAAATGATAGACCAAGGTCCGGAAGACCCCGTTTAACTACCGATCGTGATGACAGACTCCTTATTGGTTGTGCTAAAGCCGACCCATTTACTCCTGCCCAACAACTTAGACACCACTGGCGTCAAGGTGGTCATGTTAGTGTTCGAACATTGGTCCGTCGACTTCATAGAGGCTACCTAAGAGCATGTCATGTTATCAAGAGACGTGCCCTAACAGCCAGGCACCGTATAATCAGGTTTCAAAGGGCTAATGACCAACGACGCTGGAACATGAGAAGCTGACAAACTGTTCATTGGTCAAATGAGAATCAGTTTCTGTTACGACCAATAGACGGCAGAATACGAGTTTGTCGTGGAAATAAAACTGCTAATGACCAAAACAACATTTGCCCAACGACTGCAAACGTTGCTGGTGGTGTTACAGTATGGGGTTTCTTCTCATACTGTTGTAAGGTGGGTATGCATATCCTGCAGGGTAACATGAACGGACAGACATACAGGGATTTGGTGCTTAGAAACATTGTAGTCCCTCATTTTGATAATCCTCCACTTGCTTCAAGACCCTTGTGCATGTACGACAATGCTAGACCACACAGGGCAAGGATTGTAACCGAGTACAAAGAGCAAGAAGCCATTTACACTATCTTTTGGCCTTCCATGTCTCCAGACATGAACCCTATCGAACATGTCTGGGATGCCATTGGCAGAAATATCAATCGCAGAGATCCACCTTTGCAAAATCTTAGCAATTTAAGAAGCGCAATTGTTGCTGAATGGAATAAATTTGCTCAACTAAAGTTCAGAAGGCTTGTACAGAGTATGAGACTCCGTGTTATGGAACTGTACCGGAAGAGAGGGTGTTACACATCCTGTTGACTCAAATATTGACATTAAATTTTCCGAACATACCAAAGATTATTTGTAGAGACTCTTAATGCTATTGGGTGATTAATTGTTGTAAAAAAATAAAATCACAGTGAAACTAAAATTCCGTTTCTGATTTGTGTAATTTTCACTATTTCTATGAACGCAAATTTCAAATGCATAGAACCTGCATACGTAAACAAACCTAAGTCTACGGTATTGTAAATTATTGTGAACTGACATTTTCCTCTATGTGAATGGAGGTGTGCCTTGATTTGCAGAATTACGATTACAGATTACAGAATGGTATGTGTTAACTATATAATTTCCTGGACTGATAATAAATAGTGTTTATATGTATGTGTACAAATGTACACTTCATTACAATCAGATAAAATTAAATCATTATGAAATCATCTTCATGGGAAAATGTCTGATAGGGGACTCAATGTGATCCTACACATTAATTTCAAGTGACTTGTGTATTAATATTGGAAAGATTGAATTCCCCTAACTTTCCCTTCAATTCCAGGAAGGAAATTTGGTATAATCCCAAATATAGAAATTATATATTCCTGTGTAACTATCTATATACTCTAAGTCTCTAATGAAACTGTAACTAATATTTTAGACTGGCACAATTAAAATTATTATGAATTTATCTGGTTTTTTTTCAAGGATTCGACTATACAAATCCGTTACGTTTTTTTCCATATTGATATTTTCGGAAGTAAATTTTTCGTTACTTTACACTGTTTCAAAATCTTTGTGTCGTGTTTGTTGTAGACATAATTCAATGCTTAAACACGTGAGTCTAACTATAAGTTTTAAATTGCACATAACAAAAGTAATTTAACGAACAAAAGGCTGAAATATAAAAGTGGAATACCTCCATAGAAGCCATGATCGTCTGTCTGTTTACCTTTAGTTTCGAATAAAAAGAAACTATAAATTCATTGTGTTATCGTGCTTCTAATAATTAAAAGTACATACCAGTAGGTATCTAATTCAGATACATTAATTTTGTGAAAATGCATTCCATGCCAGAGGTTTGAATTTTATACGAAACTGAGTCTTTACATCAAGCTTCTTCTTATTTTTCCAGCTCGACATCATCTACGATGGGACCTGCAAATGTAAGAATTAACCCTGTTGGTGGAGCTGTATTTATAGCTCTTGGTGTATGTGCAGCTTTGTACATGTTTGGTCTTCCCGACTGGTTCCATAGAGAACCCAGAGTTAGCATGAAAGAACTTTTATCAGTGTGTATACAGCTTGCACAAGAAGGGGGCAAACGAGTAAAAGATGTAAGACTAGCAAGTAATGAACTCGCGGAAAATCTGAAAGGAAAAACTGACGAAGGTGTCAAAGATGTTAAGACAGAAGGAGATACACAGTCTCACAGGGCTATTGTATATGGATTGGCAAAAGCATTCCCTGGTCTGAAGGTACATGTTATGTAAGATCTAATGCAAGTAATTGTATAATCTATTATCTAGTCATTTAGTATTGGGTTCAGTGTTTTGTATCTACAATGGCAGTATTCTTCACAGGCCCTTAAAGCACCACAGATTTGGGGTATATAATTTCGGAGCATGGTCTTATCAGTGAGTGATTCTAGATATCTGGCCTGTGGTGCTATACATGTTATATCCGTCTAAAAATCATAAAATTTTATCCAACTTGATTGATGTTATATATACTTACTTACTTATAGTTACTTATAGTTGATTTCCAGTACAGGACCCCTCAAGGTTCCTCTTCACCAGACTCATAATTTAATGTTTTTCTATTACTGTTTTGTCCGTGACTTCCGGATATTTCTGCTCTGTAGTCATTATAGTATATCTCTTCGTCTGACCAAAATTTGTCTAATCGGTTTTTAAATGCATTTATTGATGGTGACTTTGTTATTTTATCTGGTAATTTGTTCCAGGTTTTAGCAATTCTAACAGAGAAAGAGTGTTTACGGATATTTGTTTTGAATCTTTGATGAATGACTTTATTACTGTTGGTCCTGCTACTGAATCTTTGTTGAGAATCATCTGCCGTTCTTAAAAATGAGCTTACTTCTTTGTCGTAGTATCCATTCATTGTTTTGAAAGTTTCAATCATATCCCCTCTTATTCTCCTATACGATAATGTTGGTAAGCCTAGTTTTTTAAGTCGCTCTGGGTAGCTCATGTCTTTGAGACCTGGTAATTGTTTTGTTACCCTTCTTTGGACACCTTCTATTTTGTCGATATCTTTTTTCCTGTATGGGGACCAGACTGAGCTGGCATAATCTAGGTGGGTTCTAACCATGGTTTTGTACAATGGCATGAATGTCTCAATTCCCAAGTACTTAAATGTTCTTCTAAGAACTGCAAATATAGAGTTGGCCTTGTTCACTTTTTCACTTATGTGATTTTCAAAGGTGAGTTCTGAGTCAATAAGGACTCCTATATCTTTTTCCTCTGTAACTTGTGCTATTGGATGGTTTAGAAGACTATAATTTGATGGTTGGTCAGTGCTATTAGATTTCTTACATATTTTCATATATTTACATTTTTCCGGGTGAAATTTGAGTAGCCATTTGTCACTCCAGGATTCCATCTTGTTAAGGTCTTCTTGTAGAATTTGTCTGTCTTTCTGGGTTTTTATTATTCTAAAGATCTTGGTATCATCCGCAAATAGGTATGCATCAGAATCCACTTGGTCTGGAAGATCATTTATATATAGAACAAATAGTAATGGTCCTAGTACAAATGTAGTACTGATCCTTGGGGTATCCCAGATGTAACGTTAGCCCAGTCTGATTCTTCACCATTCACTATGACCTTTTGTTTCCTATCTTTTAAGAAGCTTGTTATCCACCCTACTATATCTTCACTGACACCTAGATTTTTGATTTTGGCTATTAATCTTTTATGAGGTACCTTATCAAAGGCCTTCATAAAATCAGTATATATAGAGTCTATGTCTAAACCTTGATCTAATGCCTCTGTCCACTTATCAATCACTTCTAATAATTGAAGACCAGTTGACCTCCCTGCAATAAATCCGTATTGCTTTTTAGAGAATAAGTTGTTCTTTTTCATATGCTCTATAATAAATTCACGCAATATCTTCTCCATTATTTTGCATACTACAGATGTCAAACTGACTGGTCTATAATTTTTGGCTAGTGACTTATTACCCTTTTTAAATATAGCACTTATCATAGCATTTTTCCAATCGTTAGGTACTGTCTTACTTTCAAGTGATTGATTATATATTATACATAAAGGATTTGCCAATGATTCAGCAATCTCTTTTAGCAGCCTAGGGTGTAGTTTGTCCATACCTGGAGATTTATCTATTTTCAATGCATTTAAGTGTTTCAGCACTACTTCTTCCTTTATTTTCTGATTTGACATTACATTAGTTACTAATACCGGCGTTGGTGATGGCACTACTCCGTCAGGTTCCTTGGTGAATACGCTGGAAAAGTATTCTACTAGTAATTTGGCCTTCTTGCTATTATCCTCCGTTTTATCTGATTTTGTGTCTTCTGGATCCAGGTGTAAATCCCCAATTCCTTCTTTGGTTTTAGTTTTTGACTTGATATAACTCCAGATAGCTTTTGGGTTTTCTTTAGCTTTTTCAGACAGATTTTTCTCATATTCCCTCTTCAACTTATTTACTCTACTTTTTACTTGATTCCTTATCTTATTGTATTCTTTCCTCACATCTGGGTCGTTATTATGCGTTATCTTTTTTGAGAGGATGTTTTTCCTTTTAATTTTAACTATGGTGTTTTTATCCATTGGAAAATTGTTTTTCCCTCTCCCGATTTGTTTCCTTTCTTTTGTTGGTATATATTTTTTGTCCATATCTTGAATTATACTTAAAACTGATCTCCAATTTTCGTTTATATCATTTTCTTTCTGTAGTAATTCTGACCATTTAATGTTATCTAGTTCTTCTTTTATTTTTATGTAGTTTCCTCTATTAAATAATTTAATTATTTTTGGTTTACTTTTAATATTTGTATAGCAACTAAAGTCAAATTTCATAGTGCAGTGATCGCTTTTTCCCAGTGGACTTTGGTATTCTAAATTTGAGATCATATTTTCCTCATTTGTTAAAATCAGGTCTAGGGTATGGGGTGTATTTGTACCCCTCCATCGTGTTGGTCTTGTAACATGTTGAAATAAGAAGTTTTCTTGTAGATTCTCTAAAAATTTGTATTCATTACTTTCTGTACTTTCACCTGGTGAATTCCAACTGTCCCAGTTTATTTCAGGAAAATTATAATCTTCCATTAATAGGATATGTGAGTAGCCTTTACTACAAGCTTCAGTGGTAAGCGTATTTAATTGTTTAGTGTATTCCTGTGATCTGTTTGATGGTGTTCTGTATATTAGTCCTAATAATAGCTGGTCTGACTGGTTTAAATTAATCTTAATAAATAAGTTTTCTTGGAATTCTGTATTCATTTGGACCTGTGATGCGTCCAGTTGTTTATCTATGTACAATAAAAGACCTCTGCCTGTGTCAACGTCTAGGTTTTTACCAAACATGTTGTAATCGGATACATCGGCTAAAGAATATTCTGAAATTCCTGGTTTGTACCGATTATTTTTAGGTTTAACCTCTGTAATACCAATTATTTTTGGTTTATCGTCTCTTGTTCTTACTGTTAATTCAGGCAGCTTGTTGAATAACTGATCTGCATTTGTGTATATACAGCTTAATTTGGGTAAAACTGTAAAATTATCTGTTTTTACATTTTTAAAAACCTTTTTACCATTAAAATTATTTACATTCTCTTTTCCTCTTTTATCTTTTAGGAGTCTAGCTTCCTTAATTTGACAACCTTCCTTGCCCAAGGTGGGCCCCTTACTTTGAAATGGTAGTCCCCCGAAATCTCTTCTTCGGTTTGTCTTCTCGCTTGATCCCACAATCTTTTCTCTTGCTCTCTTTCTGCTTGGGTTAGGTCGTTACTGACTCCCACTTTTTCGTATTTTGGGTTTGTTTTTATATAATGGATGTTTCTAAATAGGGTGATCTTAGGTTCTGCACTAGGTAATTTTACTAGGATTGGTCTATTTAGCTTTTCTTTGTTAAATTTCCCAAGTCTTTTAACCATTTTCAAATTTTCCTTATCCAGTTTTATTTTGCAGTCTGTAAAGAGCTCGTTTAGTTTTTCTTTGTCAGTATTATCTCTTACTTCTTTGCTCTCGTCATCTATTTCAGGGATCCCAAAGACGATCAGGTTATTTTCTCTTGCCTTTCTCTCATTAATTTCTTCAAGAACATTTGTTACAGTCTCCTTTCTTGTTATAGGATTGGCTGCTATATCTATCTCATTGTTTGTGGAATCGCTATCTCCTTTATTCTCGGGCTTTTGTATCTTGCTTATTTCTTCTGTTATTATGGCTTTAACTTTTTCCTCATTACAACTTTCTTCTATGATTGGTGCCTCTATTTTGCCAACTTCCTCTTGTACCATCAATTTTACCATATCGTCATTGCAGTTTTTTATTTCCTCTCTAACAATCTCCTTGACTTTATCCTCGTCACATTTATTTTCAACTGTTTTTTCAAGTAATGTAATTCTTTCCTCATAACTCTCCATTATCTGTTTGCACCTTCTTTCTATTTCAATATCGGTGACTGCATGTTGTTCCATGACTATTCTGCATTTCCCACAAAACCACATTGCATCTGTTTTACATAGCATGCTGTATTCCGCTTTTGTTTTCTTTAGACCGGTTATGCAGAAATGTTCCTTACACCTTTGGCATTCCATAAGTTGAGCCTCTGGCTCCCTGAAGATTTTGGTACATTTTGCGCATGTCCACGCTTCATCCTCATCTTGACTTGTTTTTTTGTGACGATTTGGGGCCTGTGGTACTGTTTTTTCTGGTTGACGCCATACTTCTTACTTAATAAAAATAGGGCTTCCCTATTTTTTTTTTTTTTTTTATTATTATTATTTTTTTTTTTTTTTTTTTTTTTACCTGGCTGAGGAATTGTATAAGGCTTCCTTACACCAACTTATTTTGTAGTACTTTATTTTATTCTACTTTTATTTAAAGGACAAGGCTACCCTATCCTTGTCTAAAGTTCGATTTCAAATGAAGCTAGACTATCCTAATTTTGACAGGGCTTCCCTATCACGTGTTTAATTTATTTTGGGACAAGGCTTCCCCATCCGTTTGACATAAACTGCACTCTCAAATGATAGAAATAGGGCTTCCCTGTTTCCTCAATAACTATCTCTCTTTACTTATTTTTCAGGACAAGGATTCCTTATCCTCCTAAAATTTTTTAGCACTGACCTTTTTAATAAAAACAAGGCTTCCTTTGTTTTTATTTCTCCTTGTTGTATATATTCCTTTCCCTTACTCAGAAGACAAGGCTTCCTTGTTTTCTGTTCACGTTTTAAATAAAACTAGGCTTACCTCTACGTAATAGGGCT